TCTGCTCAGAATTTCCCACACTCCTCCCATTTTTAAGTTCATTTAGAACTTAAATGCAACCTACAGCCACTTCAAATGCAACCTACACTTCTGAAGTAAATGTGACTAAATGAGAAGATTCTTAATAAACAAGCAATTCTTAAAACAATTTTTGAAATCTAATTCTTCAATCTGTGCCAAACTGAACTCCTTCTCCCAAGAACAGATAAGAAATAAACTCTATAAATAAATTCTCCTTTTGTAATTCATTCTGAAGATCCCTCTATATAAAATATGAAAAGTTAAATAACACAAACCTTATATGCCACCTCTAACCTGCCATTATTGAAGTGTTGTCTTCACATGCAGTGACTCATGCATATCTCCATGCTGCTCTGAATTAATGTCATCAGGAGGGTAGGTTCATCAGGTTGTTGTATTTGACAGTTATCTAAATTGAGCATCATTCCTTCAAGCTACTCCAGGAATAAGGCTTTGAGAAGTACTGAGATACGTGAACTAGTGAATTTTGCACAGTTGCCTTTGGTTGCTGTAGCAGTCTTAATGGCCTGGAAAGAAATTTGCTGTTGCTTGATTGTTCTTCCACTGGCTTTTATTGTGAATAGGATAATAATAATAATAATAATAGTAAAGTTGGAAGGGACCTTGGAGGTCATCTAGTCCAACCCCCTGCTCGGGCAGGAAACCCTACACCATTTCGGACAAATGGCTGTCCAGTCTCTTCTTAAAAACTTCCAGTGTTGGAGCATTTACTGCTTCTGGAGGCAGGTTGTTCCACTGATTAATTGTTCTCACTGTCAGAAGTTTCTCCTTAGTTCTAGGTTGCTTCTCTCCTTGATTAGTTTCCACCCGTTGCTTCTTGTCCTGCCTTCAGGTGCTTTGGAAAATAGCTTAATTCCCTCTTCTTTATGGCAGCCCCTGAGATATTGGAATACTGCTATCATGTCCCCCCTTGTCCTTCTCTTCGTTAAACTAGTAGAGTCCTTCTCTTCTCGCAACCGTTCCTTATATGCAGAACAACTTCCCTCATGTGCTGACAAATTCCTAGAATTCAGAGAACATTTATATGTCTGCTTTATTTTCTTTGTCATCATTTTAGACATACCTTCTTGTGGCAATATATGTTAACATTGGGGACAGACAAGCACCTGGGATTTGGATATGTTATCAATAAAAACAGATTTCAGGGCATGCATTAGTGAGTTGGTGTCCTTCTTATGGGGGACAAGGTGTTCCTGTTGATCAGGAAGATGGGGTTGTCATAAAAGCACAATTCGATTCTGATAATCGTTTATTGTATTTCCTCGAATTTGTTCTCCATAGCATTTCCATTCCATTATATTTCTGGTAGCATGATGAAAGTATTATAAACACCTGTTGAACATTGATACCAAGGAATCCTCATATCCAAGGTATTCTGAATCCCAATAAACTAGAGTTAAATTCTCATTTCCATTCTTTGAATGGTTTCTTCCTAGGGGAAAAGTAAAACTAATGTACTGTAATCTGATTCTACTATTTTTTCTGACAAAAGATGTATTTTTCAGACATAACCTATTTGGAAGCTTTCATAACATGGACTTTAAATGAGCTTTTCTTTCCCTGACAGTTAGTAATCCTTCAGAAAGAAATGCAGAGTTGGCTTTTCTGGATGGATTTTTCAAATGTTCATATTGCACTTAGCAATGGTTGCCACATCACTAAGCCATACTAACAAGTCATTTCAGTAATAAACTAACAGGTACATTTTAGTCATACTTTTCCCATGCAAGTACATATTAAAATGGTTTTTCAAAAAATATAAACTTACATAATAAAAGCAGAACAATAAAAGCTTGATTTAACGGACATGAGGCAAAGGGGTGTCCGTTAAATCCAAATGTTGATTATTTTGGTCAGTAGATGGCAGCAGACATTCAATCTATAAAAACAATCTTATTTAAACAGTTTTATAAAACAACTTGATATTAACCAGCTTTATTTAAACTACTTTATTCAAACAGATTTAATCAGTTTTAGCTTTAGGGTTCGGCTTGAACAGAGTTTTTGAATCATGCTGCTTCTCTGTGATTAGTAAGTGGGATAAATCATGTTTGCTGTTATTATTTCAAGAGGTATCTGTATAAGATACATTACCCAGCTTGCTCTCTTCACTGATTTTATTGTCAACATTGGTAGTTATGCTTTCTTTGATTTGTATCATCATCTAGTAACCAGAGTAACCTTCACCTTCTAAGTACCTTACTTGCTATTCACCAGCCTTCTTTAAGATTTTGTGGAAGTCACTGATTTAAAATAATTTCAAAGTAGAGGTCTGTTCAGCAATTTTTTCCAACCATTTATGATATCTGAATTTTGACTCCTTTCCAAGCTGCAGAATGTTGTTGATCCTGATTTCAGTGTTCCCTTCCTTCCTTCCTTCCTTTCTTTCTTTCTTTCTTTCTTTCTTTCTTTCTTTCTTTCTTTCTTTCTTTCTTTCTTTCTTTCTTTCTTTCCTTCTTTCTCTCTCTCTCTCTCTCTCTCTCTCTCTCTCTCTTTCTTTCTTTCTCATGATCCTCTTCCAATACAATAGTAGTATCTTCCAAAAAATGTGCTCTTATAAAGTAATAGATTGATGAAACCAATTATACATGCCGGACAAGTGGTGTTGTTCAGGTGCTGCTTCAGATCTTGGAAACTGTAAGAACCTGTATGGGGGGAAATGGTTGTGACTCATCCCTAGCAAAACAGACTGGCTGTGGATTTTTGTCCCCTCCCTATCCCCAAGTTCAGGAAAATTAGCAACTCTGATTCTAGATGAAGTAATACTCTCCTGGTGGATCTCGTGCACAATTTTGGGGTCCTCTTGGACTCTCAACTCCAGCTTCAGTTCTTCATTCTTGGGCAGTGGTTGCAGATTCTCCTGCTGATTGTGGGATACTTCAGCTTCAGATGTTCTGAGTGCTCAAAGCTTCCTCATGCTGGAGTCCATCTGGTTCTTCCAGAGCAGGCTTCACTCTGTCAGATTCCTCTAAGTTGAAGCTGACCATGACAGGGATCCCTCAGGAGCAGTTGCATTAAATGTCATCTCACGTTGCCAAGGACAGCTGGCCAAAAAGTCAACAAAATTATCTGGAAACTGCTGACACATCTGCCTAAATCTATCCCAAACTATAAGTCACATAGAATAAACAACGTTAATTGATCTATTCACCCCATGGAGTTAATAGAGACAATCTCATCTGGATCAGAAAAGGATATAAGGACTGATAAATAGATCTTCCATATCCTGACCACTGCAAATCTGCTTCATGTCAAAGGTGAGGTCTGCCATGTAATCGCTTATATTTTTTGAACCCAGGATTATTTGAGTGAAGCCCTTGGTTGCCATGAACGTCCTGAATACTTTTCAATCTAACCTCCAGATTTTGGAAGTTGAAGTAATTCCAAACTGAAAATGAGGAGACTCCAACAGTAACCTGGAAACTAGATTGAGCCACACAGGTGAAGAGAGTTGGACTTCAATGCAAATTCATTGTGAAGGGCTAGGAGTCCAGGAGAAATCCTTACTCAAGACCTCCAGACTTCATTCCACTTTTTTCCTGGTTGGCTGTCCCACTAATAATGACAGCTACTACTTGGTATCAATGTTTATTTGCAACCACATTTCCTCCAACCAACAGAATTCTACAGCAACTTCACCCGTAGTTGCTTCAGTTGATGAATAGAGATGGCTCATCCTAGCACAACCTAGGCCTCCAGAATTACCAGTTTGTTTAACTTTACTGCCCTGATATTAGTCCCATCCAAATTAAAATGTCAATCATTAGTTACAGGAAATCGGGTTGGGGTTCAATCAAAACATTGCAAATATACCAAGTGATGTTCATTAACCTGTCAATGTCATCACCTTAAAACAGGGGTGTCAAACTCAATTTCATTGAGGGCCGCATCAGCATTGCGGTTGTCCTCAGCCTGGGGGTGTGTGGCCAGGGTGGGCACGGCCTACTGGTGGGCATGGCTGGAGTGGGTGTGGCCTACTGGGTGGGCATGGTCAGCCTTACATCATTTGCGTCAAGGGTGCCTGTGGGGGCCTGGGCAGGAGTGGGACAGATCTGAGGGTCTCTGGCAGAAGGGAGTGGGACCAGGGCAAGCGCCAAAGCATGGTCCACTGGAAGAGCCTGCCAAAACCTCTCCCCCAGAGCCCATGAAGCCAGATATGTGAAGTAGGTGAGGGCCATTTGCTGGCCACTTCCAGGCGATGGTGCATTTCTTCATTCTTCACAAAGGGTGACACCTCCCCAGCACGCACCCAGGGGGCAGGGCCAACGCGGCAGGGGCCGGTACCTTACTGTTTCCAGACAGCCTTGTGGAGCTAAAACTGAATGCGTTTCAGCATAGATGGCCACCACAAAATTGTACATTGGCTCCTGGGTGGCCAGGGCCGGAGGCAAGGCAGTGGGGGCCATTCCCTCACTGTTTCCAGGATGGCTTCATGGACCACATGAAACCATGTCGCGGGCCGCATCTGGCCCCCGGGCCCTGTGTTTGACGTGTCTGCCTTAAAACTATAGGCTATCAAAAACTCTGCATAAGAAACAACAACCAGATGCCATCTGTACAAAGGGGGAGGAACTTTAGAAGAGTCTCTGGGAAAAAATTCTTTGGAAATAATATGGTAGCTTTGTAATCATGAGCTGGGTGTTAATGAGAAATATCTCCTTTAAGATATTTAACCATCAATGGATTTGACAACAAGGCAATATTAATGGCATGACCTAGAGATTCAATAAAGTTACTAGAAAATATGAAGTTCAGGAACAGAGGCAGAGGCACCACTGTCCTCATTGTGCAGTAGATTTATTTGTATCTCTTATGAAAGAAAAGTCGTTTCATAAGTAATGAAATATATAATCCTGTGGATAGTATTTTATGTATATTATTTTTCTCTTAAATATTTGTCTAATTTGTCTAATTTAGGAAAAACCGAGAAGCAAATTCTGGATTCTTTCAAAAGAACAACTTGAATTGTGCATTTGATATAGCAAAATCCAATTCTGGGGCAGACCAGAATAAATTGGAATCAGTTTTTATTTAGTTGGATGAAGTGGACAGTCTGAATCAATTGTGATCATGAGATTCTTTAAACAGATCATTTCTCTGGAATTCCAGGGTAGCACTATGGTAGCTATGTCAAAAATAAGGTGGGAAATCTTTGTTCATGTAAAACAGCAGTCTGTAGAGAGGACTCAGGGAAATATTGATTCTGTAGCTAACAATTCTTACATGGAATCTGTCATACCAGTATTAATTACACCAATCATGGAGGGTAAAGCTAATGTGAGACAAAAATTACTTTATAATTCTTTTCACTTCAGTTTTATCTTATCTCTTATCCCTAGAAATTATATGATGTTGTTTTATGAACTGCTTTAGATAGCTGAAAGACAATGTTATGCATCTATTTATACCCCAAGCACCAACATTACCACATTCAGAAAATGTTATTGTTATTATTATTTCACCATGCATAAAGTAACCTATTAGTCTTGGATATTCCTCACCATAGGAAAATGTTTCTGAAAATTTCATCAAATTCTTTCCCAAAACAAAGAAAGGCAAACATTTATTTCAATTTAACAGAATAATAGAGTTGGAAGGGACCTTGAAGGTCTTCTAATCCAACTTCCTACTCAAGCAGGAAACCCTATACCACTTCAGGCAAATGGTTGTCCAATCTCTTCTTAAAATCTCCAGTGCTGGAACACCCATAACTTCTGGAGGCATGTTGTTCCATTGGTTAATTGTTCTAATTGTCAGGAAATTTCTCCTTAGTTATAGGTTCATTCTCTCCTTGATTAAAAAGGACAAGTATAGACAGTGGAAAGAGGGGCACATAACTAAGTCAGAATATCAGCAAATAGCCCGAGCCTCCAAAGATGAAGGCTCAAAATGAACTAAGGCTTGTGACCAAAGTCAAAGTAACAAAAAAAGCTTCTTTCAACATGTAAAAAACAAGAAAAAAGTGAAGGAAATGATTGGTCCATTAGTGGGTGAAAGTGGCAAGAAGGAGACAAGCATCAGGGAGAAAGCAGAACTATTTAACTCATTTTTTGCATCTGTCTTTACACAAAGGGAAAAAACAGACCAACCTATCGAAAATAGTGCCATAAAAAACAGAATAGAAACGCAAGTTAAGATAGGCTTAAGATGGTAAGTGAGCACCTGTCCAGCCTAGACGAGTTCAAATCGCCAGGACCAGATGGCTTACACCCCAAGGTTCTCAAGGAACTGGCAGATGTGATCTCAGAACCACTGAACTATATTTTTCAAAGATCCTGGAGCACAGGAGAACTACCAGAGGACTGGAAAAGAGTTGATGTAGTTCCCATCTACAAAAAAGGAAAAAAAATGGACCCATGAAATTACAGACTATCAGCCTGACCTCAATACCTGGGAAGATCCTGGAAAAGATAATCAAACAATGAATCAATGAACACCTAGAGGCAAACAAAGTTATTACTAAAAGCCAACATGGGTTTGTCAAAAATAGATCATACTAGACAAATATTATTGCACTCTTTGACCAAGTGACAAAATTAGTGGATCAGAGGAATGCTGTGTACATAATTTACTTGGACTTCAGTAAGTCATTTGATAAAGTAGATCACAACCTACTACTTGACAAGATAGAAAAATGTCGGGTAGAAAGCACCACGACCAGATGGATCCATAGCTGGCTGACCGGCCGTACTCAGCATGTGGTCCTCAATGGAACTGCATCTACATGGAGGGAAGTGTGTAGTGGGGTGCCTCAGGGCTCTGTTCTGGGCCCAGTGCTCTTCATTGTTGATATATCTATATCAACAATTTGGACGAGGGGATAGATGGAGAACTCATCAAATTTGCAGATGACACCCAGCTGGCAGGAATTGCCAACTCTCCAGAAGACAGGCTTAAGATACAGAAGGATCTGGACAGACTTGAACACTGGGCGCTATCTAACAAAATAAAATTCAATGGTGAAAAAAGCAAGGTTCTACATTTAGGCAAGAAAAACCAAATGCACAGCTATAGTATAGGGGGTACCTTGCTCAATAGTAGTAACTGTGAGAGGGACCTCGGAGTCCTAGTGGACAATCACTTAAATATGAGCCAGCAGTGTGCTGCAGCTGCCAAAAAAGCCAACGCAGTGCTAGGCTGCATTAAGAGAGGGATAGCATCAAGATCACGTGAAGTGTTAATACCACTTTACAATGCCTTGGTAAGGCCACACTTGGAATACTGCATCCAGTTTTGGTCACCGTGATGTAAAAAAGATGTTGAGACTCTAGAAAGAGTACAGAGAAGAGCAACAAAGATGATTAGGGACTGGAGGCTAAAACATATAAGGAAAGGCTGCTGGAATTGGTATGTCTAGTTTAATGAAGAGAAGGACGAGGGGTGACATGATAGCAGTGTTCCAATATCTCAGGGGCTGCCACAAAGAAGAGGGAGTCAAGCTATTTTCCAAAGTGTCTGAAGGCAGGACAAGAAGCAATGGATGGAAACTAATCAAGGAGAGAAGCAACCTAGAACTAAGGAGAAACTTCCTGACAGTTAGAGCAATTAACCAGTGGAACAACCTGCCTCCAGAAGCGGTGAATGCTCCAACACTGGAGGTTTTTAAGAAGAGACTGGACAGCCATTTGTCCGAAATGGTATAGGGTTTCCTGCCTGAGCAGGGGGTTGGACTAGATGACCTCCAAAGTCCCTTCCAACTTTACTATTATTATTATTATTAGTTTCCATTCGTTACTTCTTGTTCTACTTTCAGGTGCCTTTGTGGCAGCCCCTTAGATATTGGACATAGCCAATTCCTGAAACCATTCTTCATATGTTTTAGCCTCCAATCCCCCTAATTATCTTTGTTGCTCTTCTCTGCACACTCTTTCTAGAATCTCAATATCTTTTTATATTGTGGCAACCAAAACTGGATGCAATATTCCAAGTTTGGTCTTACCAAGGTATTATAAAGTGGTATTAACACTTCAGATCATCTTGATTCTATCCCTCTGTTAATGCAGCCTAGGGCTGTGTTGGCTTTTTTGGCAGCTGAAACACACTGCTGGCTCATATTTAAGTGATTGTCCAGTACTGTTGAACCAGGTAGCAACTATTCTATACCTGTGCATTCTTGCCTAAATTTAATTTAAAAAAAAATCAATGGATCTTAAGAACATAATTTGAAACATTGATTTTTATTTTTTGGGAATTTAAGTGCAATATCATTCACAATAGTCTAATATTCCTGAAAATATTCTGACTTTGAAGAAATTAGTAGCTCTTCTTAATTTTCCCATGATAGATAATAAAACAACAATCTTTATTTCGTCCATTTTTTGCTTTGCATCTGATTAAACCACCCCAGTCATTTACAGAGTTCAAAATCTTGCCTTCCTAGTGAATCAAGTGGTTTCTGCATTATCAAGTATTGTGAGAGGATTTTGACACTGGGCCAATCCTTTAGGTCAGAGGTGTCAAACTGCTGGCCCATGGGCCGGTTGCATCATGCCATGCCCACCCCTGCTCCGGCAATGCAAAAAAAGTCGCAATACGTCACGCCACGCCACGTGATGTGGCAAGTTTGACACCCGTGCTTTAGGTGATTAGAGTTTGGCTAAGAGCAAATGGAAAGGTCTTAATGAAATTAAATGAGGCTTTCTATTTTGGAATAGTATAGAAATACTTGAACTGTAACTATAATTCTCGATTGTAATGTAGCAACAAGCTACTTTTTGAATGAACTAGCAAAGAGCCATTCTTTCAAAATCTGATTTGTTGAAAATAAAACATGGATTGTTCGTATGGCTGAATCTGGACACAAACCCCACTTAGTCAAGTTGTAACACATATTTCATTTGAGTATAGACAAGTCCTGTGTAATTTATCTTTATCAACATAATCTTCCATTATCACACAGAGGATAACAGATTTTGCTATACTGCATTGAATTGAAAATGTATTTGATAGTTTTTTTAAAAGGAAAATATATATTTTGATATTTTCTTTTGATAGTTTCATATTTTGATTCTGTCAGTTCAGATTATTTTAGTAAAATAGTTTTCAAGGGAAACTATTTTCAAGAGAAAAGAACAACATTGGGGTGTCACTTTGCAAATCCCCCACCTTGTGCTAATTTAAAAATGTGAACCCATAAAAAATCAGTTTATATTATGTACATTAAGAATCTTACTGGTTCGCTAAACATTAAGATTTAAGTTAACTATGTTATGTTTATATTATTTTTAAAAAACTTATTTAATTAATCTTATCTTAGATGTATGTTAATTTATAGAATGACACTAACCTAGACAGGTCTGGTGTGCAATCTGGGGGTCCTTCTAGACTCATGGCTCCTGCTCAAAGAGCAGGTGGCAATGGTGATTAGGAGAGCCTTTCCAGATCTTTGGCTGATGCAACAGTTGTATCCCATTCCTGGATAAGGAGGCTTTGCTCACTGTAACACACACACCCTTGCAATCTCTCACTTAGATTACTGCGACATGCCCTACATGGATCTGTCCTTGAAGAGCATTTGGAAGTTCAGCTGTTACAGAATGCAGCTGCACAGTTAGTGAATGGTGCCAAATACATACATGTGTAACGCTACTACTGCATGAGCTGCATTGACTATCACTGTATTTTTAGGTACAATTCATGATGCTGATTGTCATCTTTAAAGCCCTATATAGGTGACTCTTTTTCCAAGAGTCTCTACCTGTCCAATTCAATCCAGTAGATTGGGTCTGCTGCAGATCCTGTAAGCCAAAGAATGTCAACTGGCAGAAATTCTTTGGTGTAGGCCCTGCTTTGTGGAATGTTCTTCTCTTAGACATTAGAATAGCCCAACCCTGTTGGCCTTTCACAAGGCTTTAAAAACATCTCTGTACTCTGTACTGTCTGGGGCTCAGAATGTGTTAAGAGCCTCATTTCATGACTTTACTATTAGATGGTTACTGCATCTGCACCAAAATATCCCATTACTATAAAATGATCTACAGGGATTTGATTGTTTTTAAATCTGTGTAATTTATATTATGTATTTGCTACATTTATACAGATTGAATCTGATCTTATTTACTAGAAGTAATATATAAGAGTACTTTGATTTAATTCAGGTTAGTTTTACCAATTTAGAGAAATTTGTATTTGAAATGTAACCTCATGCTTTATTATTTATTAAGCAGGAAATGGAAAGTAATGAAACAGAAAATGATGACTTATTTTATATTCCCCGCTCCGAAACTTCAGAAAGAAATTACTTTGTTTCATCTTCATCTTGGTCTTCACAACCAATAAATGTAGAGGCTACAGGGATTGAAAAGTATGTGAGTATAGGTTCCTCAAGTATAATTGAAGAAAAGACTAAATATACTTTGACATGCTGTTTTCAATACCACATATTTTAAGGCCTTAGGAAAATACAGTAGAATTGGTGCCAATCTGATCTCTGCATTGGTGATGTTTAAAAAGGCTGGTGCCAAAACAGAAAAGACTCTCTTCCTGGCCCCTGCAAGAAAGCAATCCAAAATAGACAGGCCCCAAAGGGGATGGGTGCTTGTAATTGGGGAAAGGCAGTTCCTCAATTATTGATGGAACACATATGATGTTTAAAAAATATCTAGCCCATGTTTTTTTCATTTTATGAAAAGGGTTATCATATTGAAAAAAATCCAGGTAAACTATCTGTGGCATCCCTCTAATTTTCTAAGTTAATAATTTCATCAAACAGGAAGATAAGTTTAGTCTGGCATGATTTGTTTGTAACAAACCTGTGCTGGCTTCTGGTAATTGAAGCATGTCTATATAAATGTTGAGACTCTAGAAAGAGTACAGACTCTAGATGTTGAGACTCTAGAAAGAGTACAGAGAAGAGCAACAAAGATGATTAGGAGACTGGAGGCTAAAACATATAAGGAACGGTTGCTAGAATTGGGTATGTCTAGTTTAACGAAGAGAAGGACAAGGGGGGACATGATAGCAATCTTCCAATATCTCAGGGGCTGCCACAAAGAAGAGGGAATCAAGCTATTTTCCAAAGCACCTGAAGGCAGGACAAGAAGCAATGGGTGGAAACTAATCAAGGAGAGAAGCAACCTAGAACTATGGAGAAACTTCCTGACAGTGAGAACAATTAATTAGTGGAACAACCTGCCTCCAGAAGCAGTAAATGCTCCAACACTGGAAGTTTTTAAGAAGAGACTGGACAGCCATTTGTCCAAAATGGTGTAGGGTTTCCTGCCTGAGCAGGGGGTTGGACTAGATGACCTCCAAGGTCCCTTCCAACTTTATTATTATTATTATTATTATTATTATTATTATTATTATTATTATTATTATTAAATATTTACAACTATGCTGCATAATAGGCTGTTTACCTATTATTGATATTGTTGAGAGATCTATAATTTCTCAGTCTTTGTTTTCCGTTTTCTCAAGATAGAGATGACATTTGTTCTCTTCCAGTCTTCTGGCACCTCAAAGAATAAATCTGTCATCACCTCCACTACTTCCTTCAAGTGCCATGGAATCTAATCCATGTAGTTTTGAACTTGTTATCCTATCTAGCAGAGAATAACATGAAATTTACATCTCTCATAATGCACACCTATTTTCATAATTATAATGTCCACATTTTTACCTTTAATTTTGTATGCTTTTAAAAGAGAGTTTGGGCTAGCAATATCCACCTTAATTTCAGCAATTCTAGTACCTTGGAATAATGAAACAGTTCTTGGGGATTTTGAGGCAGTAAGAAACTGGTTCATCTCTTAGATTATGTCAGTTCTAAAAATTGGTGAAGTTGGTTTACTTGTTCTATTTTTTTTAATCTTCTTGCTTTTACCTGTTTTTTTCCTTTGTTTGATACAAAATAAGCTGGAAAATTCTATAGATTTTTTTAAAAGATCATCAACATTGGCTAAGATGGTAATGATGCTTAGTAAAATATATAGCATACCCAAGGTGCAGGTATAATACTCAGGAAAACCTATCAAAATTTTAAAAATATTGCCTTAAAGTAGAAAAGAGAATAATGCAAGTACAATAGGAATCAATAAGAGATTGAAAGTTAAAGGTCTATGTAAGAGATGGGTAGGTAAATCAATAAATAAGTAAACCAACAAATCTACCTCAGGTTTCTTCCCATTATGAAATACTTCTAGCAATAGAATACTACCACTTACAAATCCCATCCAAACTCCAGCTGTGTCACTTAGAACAGGGCTTTTCAACCAGTGATACATTGGCACGTGGCAGGTGGTACGCAGCCATGCCCAGCCCAGCCAAGTGTAGAGGGGGACGGAATGAGCCAAAGCGGGGCAGCACAGAACTTGCCATGAGAGAGTCCTCAGGATCTGCAGGGCTGTGGGGGTGAGGCAAAGGCCCCAGGATCGGCACTTCAGGCACACTCAGAAGAGAAAAGAGGAGGAGGGGGGTGGAGACAGAAAGGGATATAAAAAGGAGGCAGTTTGGATGGGAGAGGGAGAGAAAAAAAGATGCAGCCTTGGGAGGAGGAGGAAGAGTCAGCTAAAACTGAACCAAAAGGAAAAGGAGGAGGAAGGGTAAGAGAGTAGAGGATAAAAAATAGTGTAACAACCTGTCTCAATCAGTTCTTCCAAGAAAGCAGAACTCCTGAAATGGCATCATTTCAAAAGGAACTTTTATTGGGAGGTGTTGACAGTAGGGATAGAAGGCAGGATCTGAGGGTTTCCTGCATGAATCAAGTAATTAGAAGTGTCCATAGTAACCCCATCCTAACTGTCCATCCAGAAGGTTCAAACAGGCCAATCTGCAGGTGTGAAAATGCCATGGGAACAGAGTGATAAGGTACCACTTCCAAGGCTGTTAGGTGTCTGCGCCGTTTCTTCCGCGCTCGGAGATAAGGTAGTTGGCCAGAGGTACATTTCATTGTCAGCCCATTAGAGACATATCAAAGAAGATAGAGCAAGAGACAGAGCAAAAGAAGGGATGAATTGGTGGTAGAAATTAGAGAACTCCAGGAAACTTTGCAATTGTTTCCTTGTGAATGGTGATGCCCACTCCAGCATTGCCCTGACTTTTCCAGATCCATTTCAGTCCCATTATGAGATATGCGGTATCCTAAATAGTCATTTTTTTGTTATAGAATTCACACTTTGATAGCTTGTTGTAAAGTCGAGCAGCCTGCAATTTATTCAGTACCACCCTGACCAGTTTTACATGTTCCTCTCTTGTTTCAGTGAAAATTAAGATATTATCCAGGTACACAAGAACTCCTTTGTAGAGGTGCTCCTAGAGGACTTCATTAATTAGCTGCATGAAGACTGCTGTCCAAACGGGAGTACCTGCAGTCCAAACAGGAGTACCCTAAATTGGAAGCAGCCCATGGGGCAGCTAAATGCTGTCTTCCATTTGTCTCCTTCTTTAATCCTAACCCGATAATACGCTTCCCTTAGATCTAATTTTGAGAATATTTTCCCCTTTTCTAGGTGGGGCAATATATCTTTCATTAGCATCAGGGGGTAGATAGCAACTGTGATTGTTTTGCCCCGCAGGCTGACCACATTCTGAATGCTTCCCTTTCTCCCGGGACACCAGGCCCTATGTGTCATGATCTTGGCATGATGTCATGTGTCTGACTAATGAAACACTTCAAAGAACTTTCAGGCATGGTTTAACCTAAAAAGCCTTTATTAGTGTAGAGGAGTGTCAGCACGGCATGGAGAATGCCAAGATCTGAATTTCCCTTCCTTTGCACATAACATTCCAGGCATTTCCCCTCCCCTATTTTGGGATCATGATTCACATCTTCCAATTAACCTGGAGGGCAAAGATTCACTTCCGTTCCCTTCCGCGGGCTTTTCTCTCTGCATATTTTGTCAAAGCAAGAATATTCAATATTAGCAGCGTTGACACCATGTGCTCTCTGCACACGCTCAGACAGGTTCGGCTTCTCACCAGCTCACCTTGCCTGGCCCAATCTCTTTGCGTGGTGAGGAGAGTGCACCGCTGCCTACTGAAACCAGGCAGGCTGGGGGGTCTGAGTGGTGTAGCACAAGTAATGTGTAGCCACTCTGCTTGTGGCGTCCCATCCCCTGGAGCCCATGAGTGTGTGAAGTGGGCAAGGGTCATTTGCTGGTCTCCTTCAGGGGATGCTGCCATTCTTCATTCCTCCCAGAGGGCAACCCTTCCCCAGTGGCGTTTCTTGCCTGTTTTTCTTTCCCTCCCTCATTGCAAATATCTTCCTGCCACTCTGCTCTTAAGGCTGTGTGGCTCTTGTCCAGGAATTTACAGTGCCTTTCAAGCCATGACCACAGGAAGGAAGGAAGGAAGGAAGGAAGGAAGGAAGGAAGGAAGGAAGGAAGGAAGGAAGGAAGAAAGGAAGGAAGGAAGGAAGGAAGGAGATCGGAATGAGAAACAGGGAGACAGGGAAAGAGGGTGGGTAGAGATGGAGGGAGCAAGGAAGGAAGGAAGGAGGGAGATTGGAATGAGAGGGAGGGTGGATCTGAGGGAAGTCGTGCCTTGATACTTGGCCACCAGCAGCCCTGTTGCCCTTTCACCCTCCCCTTGGCCTCTCCTCCTGGCCTATCCTGATGGTCTCTCATCCTATTGCTAAGGATGCTTTGGTTACAAAGCCGGGTCTCCTCACATGGAGAGGAAGTGGGCCTCCCTCTGACCCACACACTTTGCCCTCCTGCACCCATCATGAGCAACCTGGCCAAGGAGAGTCGGCACATCAGCAGCAGTAGCCTTGACAAGGAGGTAAGCAAAGCCAGATGCCCCCTTGGGGAAGTGGGGTTGGAGTGGGTTGGGCTGCAGGGTCCTGGTGCCCTGAGAGCTCAAGGGCCAGGCTGGGTCCTTGCCCTCCACTGCCCAGGGCTCTGGGCAGCCCACGCCACTGGCAGGAGTCCCCCCACATGGCCCAAGAGGGACAGTGAGGCTCCTATGGTACAGCTCCTAGTGCCCACCACAGTCCCATCCCTCTCCACCAGAGACCCTCAGATCCCCCCACAGCCCTGCCTGCACCCCCCACAGGTGCCCCATGAGCTGAGCGACACTGAGCTGGCCATGCCTCCCCAGCCATTGACTTCACTTGTCAAAAAGTTGCAAAAGGTGATCACATGACCCTGGGACACTATGACCGTCATAAGTATGAATCAGTTGCCAAGCATCTGAATGTAAATCACATGACCCTGGGGGTGCTGCAACAGTCATAAATGTGAAAAATGGTCATAAGTCACTTTTTAAATGCTGTTGTAACTTCAAACAGTCACCAAGTGAACTGTTGTAAGTTGAGGATTACCTGTACTTTATCACTTTTTTCCTTTTTTTTTTTTTTTGGTC